GAGCGTTCTACATTGCCACCCCAGCAACTTACGGAAAAATAAGTCAGGAACTCGGCGATTCTGAATCTGGAAAATCTAGGTGGCTCTGCTACCCATCCTGACCCAGTGAGCATTTACCAGTTTGTTCTTCGGGTATCAACACATGTGCATTCTACACACACACACACACACACACACACACACACACACACACACACCTGTGTGCCCCAGTAAGACATCATTTGACATAACTAACTTTCCAAAGTGCTAGAAGTTTCCTCTTCAGGGGAGACCATAGAGTTATATAGACAGCTGATAGCATTTTCTTCCAGGCTACACGAAGGAGCCTTACACTCAATAGCCGGCAAACAGCTTAGTGAAAAGGCAGGATATTTGATGAAGCTCCCCACAAAAGCAGACATACTGATCCCAGTCAGCACATACTCGACGTCGCTGCTCACGAGGGAAATGAAAGTTAAAATATAAACTGAGACAAGGTCGTTCACACCCAGCAAGGTGTCTAAAGGGAGATTGGGTGAACTAAGTGTTGGCAGGGTAGAGGGGCGGCTTGAAACATCATGGACGGTCAGTGGGGACGTGAGGCCACGGGAACATTTGGTATTGCAGGGTTCATGGTTTCTCTAGAAGGATGGTAGGATTTAGCATGTGACCAGCTCTCTCACCCCTCAGTATTTCCCCGTGAGAGATGACAACACGTGTTCTTAAAATGCCAGGGATGTGGATATTTAAGGCACTTTCATTCACAATGATCTCAAAACGGGTGGCAACACAGACGTCCACAAAAAAATGGAGGGATTTGGCAAGCCCCAGGCTATTCCTGCAGAAACAGAAGCTTGGCTGGGGGAAGGCTAAGGGTGTAGCCCCTGGGCTAAAGAGAAAAGCAAGCACACGAGACAGCCCAGCATGTAGGCCGATGTGAGCCACAGTCTTAACCTGCAGCGTGTGTCCTGTGCAGAAGATCCCTGGCTGCCTGAACTCCCGAATCTGGGGAGGCCTTTTGCCCTTCTCGGGCTGATGGAAAATTCTGATGTCTATTGTTAGGACAAGCAGTTACATGGTGTGTGTACATGTGCAAGGCTCACTCCACAATGCTACCCAGATATGCATTTAATTATGACTTACGTGTCAAAAGTATTTATTTTATGTACATGAGTTCATTGTCGCTGTCTTCAGACACACTAGAAGAGGGCATCGGGTCCCATTACAGATGGTTGTGAGTTACCATGTGGTTGCCAGGAATTGAACTCAGGACCTCTGAAAGAGCAGTCAGTGCTCTTAACCACTGAGCCATCTCTCCAGCCCTTTGAAAGGCCTTTAAAAAAAAAAAAAACTACTTCTCGATGTGTAAAGGCACCTGATGACAAGCCCAACAGTGGAAATACAGCCCCAAACCCACAAGGCAGAGGAGAATTGATCCCCACATGTTGTCCCTCCGCCGTCCACACTTGCACTGCAGGTACAGATAACACGATAAGTGTGAAGCGTAGCAGTAGCATGTACGCTCACCGTCAGTGGTTCTCACACTTGCATTTCACTCCAGCTGAGTCAGTGCCCCGAGGCTCACTTGAAAAGCCCAACCTTCTCCGTTTCCCGTCTCCACCCCTGTTTGTATCACACCTCGAGGCTCAGTGTGTCGGATGCTACTCCGAGCTCACCGCTCCTGCACCCGGCACTGGGCGGTCCGAGCTCACCGCTCCTGCACCCGGCACTGGGTGGTCCGAGCTCACCACTCCTGCACCCGGCACTTGCCTGTCTGAGCTCACTGTTCCTGCACCCGGCACTTGGCTGTCCTTTCATACTTAGCCCCGGAATCATACTTCTTCCTTCAGAAGCACACCGGCTTGTCCTCGATTCTGTGTTGTTTTATATAAATTGCTTCTTGTTTCTGCATCCTGTGATAGTCCCCTCGGGGTCCTGATGGGCTCAGACCGACTTTGTAATGAAGTTTGGCAGGTCTTTGAATGCTCCTAATGTTCAATCTCTCTGCTCATAGCCGTCTCTCCACTTTTTAGTCTCTCCCTCCCTGTGATTTATAATTCCTCCCCGTAAATGTCTCGTGCGTAAATTTGGAAGGTTTTAATTTCGAGGCGTTTCAGGTTTTTTTTTTTTTTTTTTAATTGTAACTAGACTCATCTCTTTTAATCACATTTTGAATTGGTGGTGTACCGAAGTGATTTCAAAACACCAATCCTGTACCTGGGGGGGGTCTTTTTGCTTTTGTTTTAGGAAGAGATTGATAAGGAGGGTTTTCTGCAGATGCATGCCTGGGGCTGTGTGTGGGTATATATACAGTATGTGTGTATGTGCACAGGGCTGTGTAGGTAGTATACATGTGGCTGTGTGCATATCTGGGGCTGTGTGCAGGGTATGTGTCCATGCATGGAGCCATGTGTCAGGTATGTGTGTGGTGTGTGTACATGTGTGGGATATGAATGTAAACATGGGCCTGTGTGTAGAATATGTGTGCATATTTGTTCATGCACGGGGCCCCATGTTGGGGTATGTGGTGTGTGTGTATGTGTTGTGTGTTCATGGGACTGTGTAGGGTATATGAGTGTGGTGTGTGTGTGTGTGTGTATGTGTATGTGTGGTGTGTGTGTATGTGTGGTATATGTGTGTATGTGTAGTATGTGTGGTGTGTGGTGTGTGTATGGTGTGTGCATGTGTGTGTGTGTCTGCATGGGAGTGTGTGTGGGGTATGTGTGTGGTGTGTTGTATGGTGTGTGGTGTGTGTGTGTGTATCTGTGGTATGTGTGTGTA